AACGTCTGTTGTCGGCACAGGGAGGAGCAGGTCAGTAAGGATTACTCTGACCTGAGTTTTCTCTGGTTGGCTCCAGCCTTTAATTAATACTAAGATACGTGAAATAGTAATAGGTGAGGAAGCCATGATGTTCCTAATAGTTTTCTGGCTTGAAATTCGAATCCGTGTTCATTTACTAAATATTATAAAGTGATAAAAATAGTACGTTTAGGTTGTGTAATAACATCAAGCCTGAGGATGTATTTGCATGCTTGAGAAAGCAAAATATATCCTTTATTGTGCTATACATGTTCATGTGCATCTGGTTTTATTAATTTAATTAATGCCATTAAATAGGAGAGGATTCAGGCCTGGTCCTCAGCAAACAAGAAATTACTTTGACCCCAAATACCCAGCTGTGTTTGTTGTTAATATTTCAAATTGCAACCATATTTTATGATAGGCCATTTTTCGTTTTAAATGCCAACATTTTTTGCATTTTTATATGAGTGAGACTGTAGCACCACATAGTGGACAGTATATGCTACTACAACAATCAAAACTAAAGTCTGACAATGTTTGATCCAAATGTGAGGACTAACATGTATTAGTGTGGCCAGATGTGAGTGGAGTAGAAAGTGAGCTGGACAAATGTGAGGATGGAGCAGACATTGAAGTGATAAGATGTGAGGATGAAGACGGCAGCGAGCTTGACAGAAGTAAATATGGAGCAGAATGTGTTGTAAAGTGATGTGATGGGGTATTAGTCTGGGCAGATGAGAGGTGAAACATTTATTAGTCTGGACAAAGGTGTGAGAATGGAGGCCTCACACAGTGGCGTACACATGCTCCATAGGGCCCCGGTGCAAAAATTGAACAGTGCCCCCCCCCCCCACTCCTCGCAGGCCAGGGCCGCAACACATGGCGGCAGGCACCTGGTCGCAGGGCTGCGACACCTGTGACCGCGGTATGTACACTAGTGCATGCAGATACACATACAAGTAAAGGACCACTATAGGCACTCAGATCACTTCAGCTCAATGAAATGGTCTGGGTGCCAGGTCCCTCTAGTTTTAACCCTGCCACTGAAAACACATGCAGTTTCACATAAACTGCTATGTTTACACTGAGGTTTAATCCCGCCTCTAGTAGCTGTCTCACTGACAGGCGCTAGAGGCGCTTCCACGATTCTCTCTGTGAAAATCAGTGAGAAGACGCTGGACGTCCATAGGAAAGCATTGAGTAATGTTTTTCTAAGGGCAGTTTGAATGCGCACACAGAGCTGAGAGGCGGATTGGGGCGGAGAGATCCCCAGCGCCAAGAGAGCCCGGCACTGGAGAAAGGTAAGTGCTAAAGGGGTTTTAACCACACACACGCATACACACTAGCTAACAGACACACACTCAGTGACAGACATACATACACACTCACAAAACATACACTCTCACTGACAAACACACACTCACTAACAGACACCAACAGACTCACTAACAGACACACACAAACTAACACACGCAGTAACAGACACACACAGTAACACATTCACTGACACACACACACTCACTGACACACAAACTGACACACTCACTAGCAGACACACACTCAATAACACACACACACAAACTAACACACAGTAACACACACACACAATAACACACACACAAACTAGCACACTCACTGACACTAGCAGACACACACTCAATAACAGACACAAACAAACTAACACGCTCAGTAACAGACACACACACTCTAACACTAACACACATACACACACACATTTTTTTTTCTTAATTTAATTCCCCAGCCTCCCTACCTTTGGGAGTGCTGAGAGGATTCCAGATTTCCCTAGGGTCCAGTGGGGCTGCTGGGTGGCCGGTCATGCAGGCGGCGAGGGAGCACTGATACTCCTGCTCTGCTTACAATTGCCGGAGTAACGTCATATTCCGGCTCCGGCATTACTGCGGTGCGCGCAAGGGAGCTGGGCAGAGAGCGCTCAGGGGAGAATGCTCCCTCGCATGCCCGCCTAGTGACACCACTGCCAGCCTCGGGGGCCCCTGAGGTTGCCTGCTCCTGGGCCCCCCAGGAGAAGAGGCTGGCAAACTGTCATACATACCCGGGTCGTGGTATGTACGTCAGTGGCCTCACATGTATGAGGGTGATGCTGGAAATATTCTTGGAACAATTGAGCTAGAAACAGGCTGTGCTTAGGATCCTAGGAAAGGTATTTGTTTGGGGCCCCTACTAGTGCCCAGGGTTCTTTGTGGAATATGTCTGTTTAGTGCTCTGTATGTGGTGGATGAGAGCTGGGTAAGGAGGCAGACTGAGTGCTGTGTGGGGAGGCTTAGTGCAGCTGTGTTTTGTGACTGACAGCATGGAATAGAGGCTGTGCATTGTGTGTGTGGTAGCTGAATTTTGTGTGTGGGAATGGCTGATTACGTTGCGTGTGTAAGGATGTTAGATGTGTGGGGAGACCTCTCTACACAACTTTTCTTATTTATAAAACATTTTTAATTTTGTCTCCCACCTACATATCTATTGGGCATGATCCTTAAACATAGGCGTGCGCACGTGGTGTGCCTGGGCACACCCTAATCCCCGCGGCATGCCTATGGATTGAGACCGGCAGGGGAGATCTCAGGTTCTCCCCTGTCGGCTCATGCAGAGCCGGCGCTATCCGAGCACCGGCTCTTCTCTAAGCCTCCAAGGGCCGGTGGGGAAATCAAAGATCTCCCTCACCGATCCACATGCAGGCAGGGAGGCAGGAGAAGACCCTGGGAGCTCCAACCAGCAGCTCCGTCGGATTCCTCTCGCGAGATCTGAGCGTTGCACACACACACAGCACCCACACACGCAGCACCCACACACACACAGCACCCACACACACAGCACCCTCACACACACACACACACACACACAGCACCCACACACAAACCCCACCCTCACACACACAGCACCCACACACACACACAGCACACTAACAGCACCCTCACTAACACACACACACACCACCCTTACAAACACACAGCACCCTCACACACAGCACACTAACAGTACCCTCACAAACACACGACACCCACCCACAGCACACAAACAGCACCCTCACACACACACACAGTACCCTCACACAGCACACGACACACACACACAGCACACACACAGCACCCTCACACAGCACACTAACAGGACCCTAACAAACACACACACAGCACACTACCAGTACCCTCACACACATCACACAAACAACACCCTCACACACAAACAGCAGCCTCACATACAGTACACTAACAGCACCCTCACAAGCACACACACACACAAACACCCTCACCCACATAGCACACTACCAGCACCCTCACACACACACATCACACTAACAGCACCCTCATACACAGCACCCTCACACCACCCTCACACAGCATACACACACACACAGCAGTGTATGTATGTGTGTGTGTGTGTGTAAATATATATATATATATATATATATATATATATACACACACACACATAAATATACACGCGGCTTGTGTTTGTGCTTTAGGGTGCACACCCTAATGCAATAGGCTGCGCACGCCTATGTCCTTAAACCAGGCGCACTGTCAATGACTCAGAGCACTGGCTGCAGATTTCTGAGCCCTGGGTTACAGGGACCACTAGGGAGCACTGAAAGTGATCTGCATCCAACAGAGGTGCAGACCATGTGTTCCCTCAATGTAAAGAGGAGACACAGGACCAGCTAAGATCCAGGTGCTTAGCCCCTGTCTGAGCCCGGACCCTAGAATGATAAAATATTCTATGTACAAGTAGAGGTAGAGCAAGCCAGATTTGGAGCTGTCAGGGATGCACACAGTCGCTTGAAAATTGAGCTCAGTGGAGCAATTAGGGAAGAGGTAGGTGATGTAGAACTGGTTTGTTTAGTGAAAATTTTAACTTGCCATTATATAATGTTGTATTAAGGCAGTACAAAAAAAGGCTTACATTTGTTCATTTAGCTTTTCAGCTGGTAGGAAGGTTCTGAAGCTATGAATAGTTTTTTGTTTATTATATCTCTCTCAAGTTTTATTTGTAGTTTTACTTGTATCTTGTCAGCAGAGATTTCTGGAAACAAATTGAAGTTATAAAAATTCAATATATATTTTTATACCATAAAAAAAGATTGTTTACAAAAACTATTACATGTGACTAATTTCTGATATTTTTGATGACAGATGACTACGCCAGTGAAGGTCTATTATAGCCAGACGACGCAGACGGACATCCGACCCCTAATTGGAACAAGTCTAAGAAGGAGGCGTGTGATGACTAAAGATGGTCGGAGCAATGTGCGTATAGATCATATCGCCGATAAGAGCTTTCTCTACCTCAAAGACCTGTGGACAACTTTTATTGACATGCAGTGGCGTTATAAGTTGCTCCTATTTTCGGCAACATTTGCAGGAACCTGGTTTGTTTTTGGTGTAATTTGGTACTTGGTGGCTCTAATACATGGAGATCTCCTGGAATTCAATGCTCCGGCAAATCACACACCATGTGTCATGCAAGTCCACACTTTAACCGGTGCATTTCTTTTCTCTCTAGAGTCTCAAACCACCATAGGTTATGGTTTTCGCTACATTAGCGAAGAATGTCCTCTTGCAATAATTCTGCTTATTACTCAGCTGGTCCTCACCACCATTATGGAAATATTCATCACTGGAACATTTCTGGCAAAAATTGCTCGTCCCAAGAAAAGAGGGATGACCATTAAATTCAGTCAGAGTGCTGTGGTAGCTCAGCATGATGGCAAGTTATGTCTCATGATTCGGGTGGCAAACATGAGGAAAAGTCTAATGATTGGTTGTCAAGTATCGGGAAAGCTCCTCAAGACACACTTAACTAAGGAAGGTGAGAATGTACATCTGAATCAAATCAATGTAAACTTTAATGTTGACACATCCTCTGATAGCCCTTTTCTAATACTACCACTCACTTACTATCATGTGATCGATGATGCTAGCCCACTGAAAGATGTAGCAATTCGTTCTGGAGAAGGGGACTTTGAGCTGGTAGTCATTCTCAGCGGAACAGTGGAATCCACAAGTGCCACCTGTCAGGTGCGCACTTCATATCTCCCAGAAGAGATACTTTGGGGTTATGAGTTCAGCCCAGTACTTTCTCTGTCTTCTAGTGGGAAGTATGTGGCTGATTTCAGCCTCTTTGACCAGGTTCTCAAGGTGTCACCACCATGCTGCTTTCATGAAACTGTTCGATATGGGGATCAAGAAAAACTGAAACTGGAAGAGTCACTCAAAGAGAAGACGGAGAAGGATGGAAGTCCCTTGAGTGTTAGGATTAGCAACGTTTGATACAGGGAATGACTGGACATGGAAATGAAGCATCGAAACTCTACTGTAGATACTTGGCCATTCTTGCCAGGTTTCCAATGCACTGCCTTATGTTCTAAAAACACAAATAGAAAACTCTTAGCAAACCCACCATATGAATGTTTCTGAAACACTTCACTTGTACTGTAGTGAGATTTAAAAAAGGGCATTTATATCTAGAGAGGAACAGGTGTAAGTAGTGTAGATAGAATACATTATTTAAAATATAGCAAGACAAATGGACCCTATGGATTAGTGGATTCTCTATTGTTAGCAGGTACCATATATTTTTATAATCTACATTTTACCACATTTACTGCGTAGAGTGAAATAGCAATCCGCAATTTCTGAGCTATACATTTTGATATTAAAACAAAGAAACAAACACCATAACCAGTGCATATAATATGTTTAAGAGAAACTCTATGGCTAATGGTGGTTGACTATGGCTCCAGGAGGGTACCTCATGAAAAAAAAGATATAAAACAATACCGTTAAAAGTGAAACAAGGAGGGAAAATAACATATGAAAGAGGTGTTGACTTTCTTTGGTCAGTGTCACATCAATGGGAATTGATGGTCATATTAGCAGAACGCCCAACAATTGCAAACTGTAGGTGTCCTAGATGCACCAGTATGAAGAAGTGAAATTTATCCCACAGTAGTTACAAATCACTCAGTTGTGCATCGGCCAGGTAAGTTCCCATAAAAACCTTTCACTAGATATTTCATCCTGATTCCTGTATTTGGAAGGACACCCTTACCTGATCTTGCAGGATCACAGTCACACAGCAGGAACTGAAATTACGTTATGCTTGTTACAGATGTTTGTACCATTTTGCACAACGAATGGTTACAGGAAAAAGAACATAAACTAAAATGAAAACGGAAAAGACATTTTCATGAAACACCCTTTGAAATAGGTTATTCAGAAAAATTGAGGAGTTTACAAATCAAAGGATAACATGCATATTTTCTTAAATCTATTTATACTAATGCAGCACATTAAATATGAATGTAAACAATACTCTAACTCTAATTCAATACTCGAAGTCTCTTCTTACATAAACTGAACTATTTCAAAAGTAAAGGGAACTGTATACGATGTCATACCAGCTCCCAGACAATGCTATTGAGAATATATTTCAGAGCACAACATGGAAATCTGAAAATCTGTCAGCCAATACACAAACACACCTACAAAATCTATAACTGGATATCAAAAGACCTGTTTGGTGCTGTCGTCTTGCACCACATATCCAGGATAAACTCTTGTAGGCTAAACAAAATATATTAGGCAAATTATGAAAATGTCTGTGTGTAATTTTTTTGTTCTTACGATGTATGTAAATAACAAACAATTACAATTGGAATCAATTTGGCATACATTAAGGCCAGCAGAGATTAGTGAAAGAGGAAGAAACATCACAACAGATGAAAGGCCCTATTGTCCACGTCCAAGTAATGAGAACATCTGTTTTTTTATGGAAAAGAAAGAAAAAGGAGAAGTATCAATGCGTGACAATACTATGAAACCTGGCAAATTTCACATATAGGAAACAAATGGAAACAAACTTTAAGTGAAATGAACAATCTGTGCATTGTTATGGTGCTTGGAGTTAAACTTGACTATAATGACCTTCCTGGCCCTTCTGTCTTCTTCTCTGGCCCGGCTTCGATGAGGAAGTCTTTCACTGGGAGCAGCTGATAGGATTACAGAGTCTAATGTATTTTTCTCAATGGGAGCCCAGTGACAGACTTAAAGTGTCAACTGATGTATTTAGCCCACCGCTGTCACCTAGTGATAAGGCTTTCTTATTCAGTCAGATCAGGAGAACTTGTGCAACCAGGACTACTTTGGAGTTAAACCATTTTTAAACAGTTTAATCCGTTAAGACAAGACTGCCTTGGACATCCAGGCACCATATCAACTTCATTGAGACAATGTTATGGTACCTGGAGTGTCCCTTTTAACAGTGTGTCCTTACTTGGATTATAAGGTAGACTATTATGTATGTTCCATGGTTTCATCAATTGACAAGGAAGACTGAGAAAGAACCAAGCAAAATGCAAAGTAGAAAGTAAAGCTATGTAAATATAACTCCAATATGATGCATTTTTTGTTAGAATTTTCTTCAAGGTACAAAGTTAGCTAAAGTCTAAACATTTATACATTCTCTGCATATTAACTCCAGTGGTTTATGGTAGTTTACTGTCAAGGCACCAGCTTGATGATGATGATGATGATGATGAGTGCAATCAGTTGGATGATGGATAGAAAGATAGATAGATAGACAGATAGATAGATAGATAGATGGATAGATAGATAGTGAGAAGGACAAGACTACAATATGAGAGAGTGACAGAAGAGGACTCCTATAGATCTGTCTGGCCAGTATGGAGGTAGTGGTGTTCAGCAATGGTGGATTCTTTGTTTGACTAAAAGGGAGTAAATTGGATCTGAAAAGGCAAAACAAACTAAGCAATGGTTGTTAGAGGGATGTGGTTGGTGAACTTCTAAATGGTTTTGAGTGCAAAAAAAAAAAACTTGGTCCCTAATGCTGATATGGAACCAATGTGAATGTAGCACTAATACAAAGAGACATTGAAACGTAGGGATATGGCAGCACAATGTGTTATGGCAAAAGGCAGATAACCGTAGAGCGGAGATGGTTAAAGTCATCATGGGAAATGTAAAACTGATTTTTAGATTATTCTTACAGCCTCTCTAATATTTAGAGTCATTAAGCATGAGTCATGTACAGACGTTGGTGGTTTATATTAACAGTGTGTATAAGTAGACTGTACAGGCCTTTCCAAATCTCCTGTAACCTTTCTCAAGAATGAAATCAAGGCAGTTGGGACCAAGAAAGAATTATTAACGGACAATGTAGACCCTTGACCACACAAGCAGGCCTAAGGTATGAATAATGCACAGGTAAGATTGGAGGGATATTATAGTTATTATTTATAAGGCGTTAACAAATTCAGCAGCACTGTACAATAGGTGGACTAACAAAACGAGTAGATCCAACAAGACATGTTAGACAGGAACAAAAGCTGCTGAATGATCTTTACGGAAATTACATCTAATGGAAAAGTAAGTTGGTAGAAGCGTTTACAATGAAGGCTTAGTTTATTAGATTGACGCAGTCATAGGAAAGAAGGTTTAATGAACTGTGAGGAGAGAAAGATGTTAAGAGTTTAATTGATATGACTTCTTGAAACAATTAGGTTTTCAGTGATTTTCTTTTGTTTTGTTTTTTTAGTAAAGGAGACTGGATCGGAGTCTAATGAAGCAGGGATAGGAGTTCCAAGGGGAGTGGTGTAGTCCTAGAAAAGTCGTTAAGGATTGAGACAGACATGCGAGTATAAAAAAAGGATAGACATAGGTCATTGCAGAGGGTTAGACAGCAGCAGTGTTATGAAACAGATTTGTATGTCAGCATCAGAATTTTAACTTGAGCCCTTTGGGAAGCCAATTTAATGACTGACAGTGAGGGGAGACATGGGAGGTACGGGAGGACAGGAAGAGGAGCCTTGCCACATCATTCATCATAGAGTGTGGTGGGGCAAGCGGAGAGCATGTAAGACAAGTGAGACGTGAATTGCAGTCGTCAACGCAGGAGACGATGGTGACATGGATGAGCACCTTAGCCATATCTGGTGTTAGGTAGGGGCTAAGGTCGTGGGCTATGTTTTTGAGAGAGAAGCAACATGATTTGGCATTGAATGGATGTGAGGGGTGAAGGAGAGATTGGAATCAAAGAGAACACTAAGGCGGCAAGCCTCCGAGGTAGACCTGTTGGTAGTTTCGTTGGCCCGGAGGGAAGCGGACACTGGAATAGCTGTGTTTAAAGGCGGAAAATAGATAGTATACATGTTTTCATAAATGCAGGCTGTGCCATAAACAAATACACTTTCCTCAGAGCATACTTATAAAGTTACATTACTTTTTCAGCCATATGAATACAAGAAATGACTGTACCCCATTAATTTTCAGTGTGTGCCTTGCACGGAGATATTGGTACATAATGTTCCATTTACAGTAGAACTGTTGAACAAGCATTGTGCCTCACTGTAATTGAGAAATAAATGAGAGCGCTAAGAGGTGTACCACACATAACAAAAGAGTCATAGAATAGAGGGGATAATCATCTGGATTTAGTGAATAAATGGCAACATCCCTCTGTACGAATTTTATGTTGAGAAATAAAATGAGTGTAGAATTGTGTACTTATTTAATCTTTTTTTTATGCTACTTATGCCACTGCAAATGATCAATAAATAAAAGGGTTATGACTTAGGCATATTAAAACAATAAACGTAATAAAATTGGCACAGAAAGTGCCTTGATCTGTAAATAGCATGCAATTTGTCACCATAAAAAGTGAATCCAATATTTGTACTGCTTAAAAGGCACACATGAAACATTAAGATGCAAATATCACATAATTCTCAATTTCTCAGATGGTTGACTTAAAGGCTCATTAACACCAAAACCATGTTAAAATTTGAACACTAGTAAGATATTTTGATATTATATAGCATGTAGAACTTTGCTCAGTTGGTATAGTAAGGGTCCTTAAGTTAAAAATATATTATGATTTTATTCCCACTTCCAATCTCTCGATCAATAGAGAAATGGCAGTGCAAAAGGGCCAACAACGATGTCTAAGTCCCACCTACCAACAAAGCAATGTACATCATTGTCGATGATATTGAATTTCAAATTTAAGGCCAAGTAGCCAAACTATAAGAAGAGCCAACTAGAATATGTACAGTTTTGCTGTTTTGGGCTTAAATTTGAAACTCAGTTTGAACTCCTGACACTTTAGGGAAAAACCCCATAAAAAGTGAATTCTGAGGAATTTGCATGGCAACTGGAAATTCTAGGCCAATAAAAAACAAATAGAAAAATTCTCCAATTTAACTCTTTTTTTCAGGCAGCTACCATAGCTTAGTTATTGCTTCTCCTTACCA